AGGAGAAGGGCGAGGGACAGATTAGAGTGGGTGTTTGGGGAGGAGTGTTTTGAAGCCACAGGAGGAAACGTCTGTGAAAGCCCAATATAAAAAAACCAAAAGCGCCGGAAGGAGGCCGCCAAATAGAAAAGCGGAAAGGCAAAGAAGAAACGCTTTTGGAGGAGGGGCCCCGGGCCTAATGGGGGCCCCGCGTCTCTTCTTTCCTCGATTCGTTACACCGGATTTGACCATCAATGAGGCGGGCCGATTTCGGCCCATCACCAAGGGGGGAAGCCATTAACCTACATTGGCTTCCCACACAAACCCCCCTTCATGGGGGGAGCAGCAAATGAGGTAGTCTCTGCGAAATCACTGTCCCAGGGAATTCGCCCTAGACGCCTCCGTGTGGACTGTGTGTGTGTGTTTGTTTGTTTGTGCGAGGGCAGGCGGTTTCGCATGAAGTACGAGCAGAGCACAGGGACCAGCTGCTGCCGGTAAGGCCTGGTGTGGCCTGGCACCGTTACGAAAGAGACGCAGAGGATGCCGTGGAATTCTGCGCCTTTGTTGCCCGTCTCCGTGCTCCACGCAAAAGAGACGACCACATTGCCCACACACGAGGGGCTCGAGAGGGGCCACTCGACGGTCCAGGCGTCGTCATCGAGGGGGCACGGGGGCTCCAGTCTGCCGGGGTTGCTCAGCGGCGAGTCCCAGATCCATCGGCCGCAAAGTGCGTTAAGCACGAGAATGTGCGCGCGAGTTCTCTGTCCTCCAAGATGCACGTCGCACAGAATTGCCGTGCCTCTCCGCCCCCCCCTCTCGCTCAACAACATGGCGCTCAGCAGCAGCAGCGCGGCCGCCTCACTTCTTGCGTCGTTCGTCCTGTCCCCGCTGCGCCCCTTGGCGCCTGTGCATATCGCGTGCCCACCTGCTTTTCTTTTGGGACTAGCCTTTTTTTTTACTTGCCTTCGATGTTACACAGTCCGAGCCTGGCTGTCTCCGCTTCACCTTTCTACCTACCTACTTACACAAACAACTCCAACACTCACAGGCGTATATTCTTTTTGCTTGCTGCGACCGGGCACTCGACCGCCTGCGCGAGCTGGTCTGCGCAAGTCCTGCCGCAGCTCGGACGTCGACGCGAGCCAATCCGATGCCTTTGATCGACCGATGCGAGCTCGCGCGCGCGCGCAAAACGCGCGACTCTGCGCCTTCGGCGCGGCTGCACCGCCAGCGCGCGGCGCGGCGCGCAGAGTGGACGAACATACCAGGCCAGAGTCTGGGGCTCTGCTGCGCAGAGGCCAGAGCTGGACGCGCAGAGGGGGAGAGAGGAGGAGGTGTGTCCTCGGACGCGCGCCAGTGGGGTGCTCCAGGGGAGGCCGCCGAGACTTTTGCAGTTGAAGCGACTGTAGCTGCAGACGCTCCCTACTGCTCGGTGTACGAACTCTGTTCACAGCCTTGTTATTGAGAAGGAAATACCTCCTATGGCGCTGTGCGCTGGCCTGTGAGAGTTCACACCGAGTAGCTACCCGGTACTCGAGTAGGAGAGGCTGCGGCAGCCTGGCAGACAGCCTGGCCCCCGCCACCGGGCTTTTCAGCTGGTGGCCGCCGCGCGCGCGGGCGTACGATGCTCGGCGCGCGATCCGGCGGCATCCTCACGGGCGAGGATGTCGACAACATCCGCAACATGCTCTTTGACGCCGACGCCGGCGGCGACGTCGTCTTTCTCGTGAACGCCTTTGCGGCGTACGCGGCGGCGCGGCTGGCCATCGAGTTTGTGCTGCCGGGAAAGCTGCGCGGCTACACGCACCAGCAGTACGTCGTCACGCTTGCGCATCAGGTCGTGGCGCTGCCCGTGCTCGCCGTCTGCTGGGCCGCCGGGCTGCTCGCGAGCGGCGGATCTGCGAGCGGCGGGCCGAGCGAGGCGCCCGGGCTCATCTACCTGCTCACGGGCGCCTACGTGCTGTCCGACTCGCTCGTCAACTACTCGCCCATCTCCGCCGCCATCGCCGGCAGCGCGGGGCCGCCCACCTTTAGCTGGGGCGTCCACGCGCACCACGGCTT